CCTCCCAGCTGCACTTTAACCCTAGAGGGGTGTGGGACCAAGGGGCGCAGTGGCGGGGGTGGAGAAGACCCTCCCAGGCCCCTGAACTGCCTGTGCTGCTCTTGTGCCTGCCCTCGACCCCTGCCTGGGGTGCCTGCTCCATGGCTGTCCCTGTCCTGACGAGAGCTTCTAGAGCTTGTAACCAGTAGTGGTCTCCCTACGGACCCCGACTTATGAATAAACGCCTTCCAGCCTGCGCTCTCTGCCCTGTGCTTCCTCCAGGGGTCCAGAAGAGGGGAGCCCTCGCCCAGCGGCGCCAAGTAGGGTGGGCAGGTCTGTAGGCACCGCCTGCGGCTCCTCCCTGCATCCTGGGACCCGTTCACCCGCCTGCCATGTGCCTCCTGGGCCCTGCTCCGCTCCTCCCAGGGCCCACCTCTTCCCTCAGGAGTCCACTCTGGCCTTGCCTGTGCCTTGGGTGGGCCTCCAGACTGGAGTTTTACCAGGGCCTTGGTCCCGCCTCCTGCCGTCCCTTCCTAGTGACCCAGCATCAGCCCTTGCAGGGCCGCAGAGCTAAGTTCCTCCCATCGGTCAAGCCCCTTGACGCCCACAGATACTGCCCTCATTTTGAGGGTGAGGCCTCTGAGGTGTACAGGACTAAGCAGTCCCCCAGGGTCAGGCAGTTAAGACATGGCAACAGCTTGGGGCAGGCTGGCCGGCAGCTTGCCAGGCTGGGGGACGCCAGCACCCAGAGCCCACGCGTGGACTGCCACACCTGTTTTATAGAATGGGAAACGAGGCTCTGGAAACAGGAGGACTCGAGCAGGCTCACAGGCCGCCCTGACCTCACGTCTGCACACTCGCCTGCACACTCGGGCACGGAGGTCAAAATACTGGCAGTAAATGTGCCCCTCGAGGTCCTTGGTGCAGATCTCTGAGCCCCAGTGGGCTTGGATCTGAGCACTCTCGGTGACAGAAGTAGTCTTGGTCCTCCATCCTGTGTTTGGAACAAGGAAGGGTCTCAGCGGATAGAAACTTTAATTAATTAGAAGCTGGGTGGAGAAAAGGCGGGAAGGTGGGCCTGGAAGGCTGGCCAGAGGGCAGGCCGCTCGTGGGCAGCCAGGCTCCACACAGAGCTGGGCTTCAGCCAGACCTAACGGTGGGAAGAGGCTGAAGGCCAGTCCAGACCCAGATGCTGGAGGCCAGAGTTGGGTGGGAAGGCCGGGCTCCGCGGGATAGTTGTTGCTGATTCTATGTGGGAACCAGAGAGGGGGAGGGGAGATAGATAGATAGACAGATAGATAGATAGATGGGGACAAACAGACACACGTGGGATAGTGACTTCTGATATTTCTCTCCACCTAGTTCAAACGGAACAACCCAATGAGCCCAGGAATAAAATCGCAGCCCCCTGCCCCTCCCCACAAGGGCGGAGGGATTTGAAGTCTTTACCAGGGGTTAACGGTGGCATCAGCACGGTCAGTACTGGCCCTCTCTGGACGGCTGGGCATTGGGATAATTGGTTCTGGCTTCCCTCCCTTGTTTGCCTATGTGGAGCTACTGTCCTTGTCCCAAGCCCCCGGGGAGGGGAAGTCGGGATGCCTGGGCTCAGATCTTCTCTACTTCCTAAGTGGAACCTTGAGCAACTCACAGAAGATCTCGGAAACACAGTTATCCTGAGTGTAAATGAGGACTACCCACCACACTAACTTCACTCCCCAGGGTCAAGGTGAGCATTCCCCCGTCAGGGCACGTGAGAGCTTGCAAGATCCCCTGGAAATTGGTAAAAACTCAACAAATGCCAGGTTATTATTGAGAGTGAATAATTGCAGGTGGTTGGGCTGACGATTGTGTCCATTCATTCATTGGGCAGATATTTATTGAGAACCTACTATGTGCCACAACAGACAGAACCTGCCTGCAGGGAGTTTATGCACTTGGTCCATACTTTCTCTGAGAGCAGCTTCTAGCAGGACTTGGCAACCCCCCTGGACCCCAGTTTCTCCATCTCTGCAAGAGGACCTTCACTTGCTTGTCCTTGATGCCCTGCCAGGTGTGAAGCTCTGGGCAGAGGCTTCCTAAGGCTCAGCTGTCCCATTGAGGCCCCAGCTGTCTCCTTCAGAGAGGAAACTCGCTAGGGCCAGAAGTAATCTTTTTTTTTTTGTTGTTTTGGTACCAGGGATTGAACCAGGGGCATTTAACCACTGAGCTACATCCCCAGCCCTTTTTCTTATTTTTATTCAGAGACAGGTTCTCGCTGAGATGCTTAGGGCCTCGCTGAGTTGCCGAGGCTGGCTTTGAACTTATGATCCTCTTGCCTCAGCCTCCTGAGCCGCTGGGACCACAGGTGTGCTGCCACTGCACCCGGCATCACTGATCATTCTTGAAAGTCCCTCTCTGCAATGTTAAGGAAGTCAGAGACTGGATTGTTCTGTAACTGAAATGAATGACAAGAGCTGGAGCTTCTGCAAAGGTCTCAAGTTCAACTTAATAACAATGTGGCCACAAGGTGGCATCACTACTGCGGCCCGATCCTTACAAAAATGATTTTCTAAAATTATAGCAAAGTATAAACCATAGATGACTAATATCCAGGTATCTATCGCCCACAATGAACTCATATTAAAATGATCGTCATGTTGGGTGTGGTGGTGCTTGCCTGTAGTTCTAGCTACTCCAGAGGCTGAGGCAGGAGGATCACAAGCTGGAGGCTAGCCTCAGTAACATAGCAAGGCCCTAAGCAATTCAGTGAGACTGTGTCTTAAAAAATAAATAAATAAAAGGGTTGGGGATGGAACTCAGTGGTACAGCACCCCTGAGTTCAACCCTCAGTATCCATCAATCAATAATAAATAAAATGATCATTGTGTTTTCTTTACAAAAAATAAAAGGTATTGCACATTATAGAAGAATCTAAAACAAAGGATACATTCTTTCCCACTATATACTGATTTTTACAAAGCTAAAATTTGTCAGGCAAGACCTCTTCTGTTCCAGAAGGTTTAAATATTCACCCTATTTGCATCTTTGGTATCCTAATATCAGAAAAGCAGAGAATTTAAGAGGCTTCGCCAACCTCACAGAGCAAGTAGCAGAATCATGACTAGGAACCCATTTCACAGGCTCTGAAATCTGTTCTACGGAGTGTCCGATGAGATAGCCGTCCCTGACATCAGGACTCCATAGCTGAGGACCCCAGGCCAACGGCACCATCACGTTGACAGATTACACCAGTGCCATTTAATCTCCTCAATGACCCTGGGTGGCAGATACTGAATTGTTCTGCAGTGACCCAAGGAGACAGAGTGGCCCTAGGATCTCAAGCCAGCTTCCTGAGCTTGGGTCCAGCTCTTCTGTTAGTACATTCTGTTCCCCGGAGACATGTAGTGCGGTGTAGAGGCCTCCTCCACTGCTGCCTAGATTCACCTGTGGGCAGGACTGGGGCTTAGGGGTGGGTGGAGGCGCTGCAGGGTCTGAAGTTTTTGTCAGGAGGTACCTTCACCACGGTAGCGGGCTCCCTGTGTCCTAAACCTACAGCAGATCTGAGTTTCAGTTTCTACTTGATTGATTGCTGCTCGGGACCTTGGGAGGAGCCCTGGACTTCTCTGAGCCCCACTTAAATACCTTCTTCTCCGCTTTAATTTTGGGGATATTAAGAATAGGAATAATATAACAAACACAGCAGGGCCTTATACGTGGGAAATATTACCTTTTTTTTTTTTGGTACCGGGGATTGAACTCAGGGGCACTCGGCCACTGAACCATATCCGCAGCCCTATTTTGTATTTTATTTAGAGACGCAGCTCACTTTTGCAGAGGCTGGCTTTGAACTCGCCATCCTCCTGCCTTAGCCTCCCCAGCGGTGGGATTACACGCGTGCGCCACCAAGCCCGGCTTATTTTTCTTTTTCTGAAAAAGATGCTCCAGATCCTCTTTATACTGCTGTGCCTTTTCCTTTTTTCTATAGCAATGATCACCTTATGATCACTCTGTATGTTTATTATGTTTGTTGTTTATTCCACTATAAGGTAAGTTCCACGGAGGCGGGGATCTTTGTTTTGGTCACTGCAGTGTCCTGAGTAGTCACAGCAGTGTCTGTTGCCTACTACGTGCTGAAGAAGTTGTTTGTCAAATGAGGAATGGAATCTGCAACATGAATCTGCACAGCAGCCTTAGCGGAGGGTCACAGCCAGGGGGCGCCACACCCCTCTGCCTACCGCCCTGGAGGATTCCCACCTCGGTTCGCTCGCTGTTATACTGGGGACGACAACAGGTCAGCGACTGCCTCCGCAGTACCTGGTGCGGTGTTGGTTCTTGCTCAAAAGACCAGAAGAGTCAGCTCACTGCTCAAGCTAAAGGGGAAAGATGCCGGGAATTATTAGCCTATTTTATAGGTTCAGCAATCGAGGCCCAGAGGGGTGATAAAGAGACTTGCCCAGTATTCCGCAGCTGGTTCTCCTCGAAAGCGCGGCGACCCTCGCCGGGAGGGACCAGAGCTTACTGTGGAGGGATCCCTGGGTACCGGCAGGTCACAGCCACTTCTTCTTTGAGTTCCGCCTGCGCCATCACCACGTGTGGGCTGGGGAGGGGGGTGCGGGGGTGCGGGGACTGCCATCTCCCTGGAGGCGACTCGGTGCGGCTGGGGCGCTCGGAGCGTGCCTCCACCGCCTGGGGTACGGGGACCCTCTGCGGCGAGGCTGGGGCCCGTCTCCCCGCCCACCGCGGGGCGGGGCGCACGCTCGGCGGCCCCGGGACCGCGCGCTCCCGAAGCAGCCCCGGCTCCTCGCCGCGCCTCCGGTGCTCCCGAGTCCCCGGCCCACGGCCGCGTCTCCTCCAGCCCGGAGGGCCTGCGGCAGTCGCCGGCAGCCGAGCGCCCCAGGTACGGAGCGCGGGCGGGCAGGGGCGGAGCGCGGCGCTGCCCTCTGCCGCCCGCGGGGCCTGCCCGGCACGGCCCGGGGCCTCCCGCGTGCCGCAGGGCTGCCTCTGCGCCGGCGGGAGAGAGACCTGCCTTCCCCGCTGGGCTTTGCTACAGTGCCTGGGCCACCAAACCGCGACCCCAAGCGCGACGGCTTCGATCTAGCGTTCCAACACGCCCACCCTCGCAGGGCAGCCTGCGCCGCCGGACAGCGCCCTCGGCCCGGGGTCCCGCCTTCCCGGTGCCCCCGCCCTAGACCCTAGGCCCGCCCCCTCAGGGGACTGTCCCACTCGGGGGAGCCCAGCCGACCTCCGCCTAACTTTACGCTGCTCCCGTCAGGGGGACTCGCTCATCAGGTGCCCCTCCCCAAACTTACTGCCCGTGGCCTCGAGGGGTCCCTGCCGCATCCCGGGGCGCGGGAGATATAACCCCTGTGCCTCCACTTCTGGTCGCTGCCCCTTAGCGCCCCGACCCTCTCTTGTCGCCTACCCGCCTGGGGACGGTGTTGCTCTTCTCGCGGACAACAACCTCGGCTCCTCCAGGCTGCTCACCGTCTCCCCGCCCATCCTATCACGTCCCTGTACGCATCCCCAGCCTCCATGGTCCCAGACCCAGGCCCTGCCAACAACAGCACCCCGGCCTGGGGCCCCGGACCTCCGGCGGCCCCCGGGGGCAGCGGCTGGGTGGCGGCCGTGCTGTGTGTGGTCATAGCGCTGACGGCGGCGGCCAACTCGCTGCTCATCGCGCTCATCTGCACGCAGCCAGCGCTGCGCAACACGTCCAACTTCTTCCTGGTGTCGCTCTTCACGTCGGACCTGATGGTGGGGCTGGTGGTGATGCCACCGGCCATGCTGAACGCGCTGTACGGACGCTGGGTGCTGGCGCGTGACCTCTGCCTGCTCTGGGCGGCTTTCGACGTGATGTGCTGCAGCGCCTCCATCCTTAACCTCTGCCTCATCAGCCTGGACCGCTACCTGCTCATCCTGTCGCCGCTGCGCTACAAGCTGCGCATGACGCCCCCGCGCGCCCTGGCGCTGGTCCTGGGCGCCTGGAGCCTGGCTGCGCTCGCCTCCTTCCTGCCTCTGCTGCTGGGCTGGCACGAGCTGGGCCACGTGCGGGCACCTGCTCTGGGCCAGTGCCAACTGCTGCCCAGTCTGCCCTTCGTCCTCGTGGCGTCAGGCCTCACCTTCTTTCTGCCCTCTGGTGCCATCTGCTTCACCTATTGCAGGATCCTCCTGGCTGCCCGCAGGCAGGCCGTGCAGGTGGCCTCGCTCACCACCGGCGTGGCCAGCCAGGCCTTGGAGACACTGCAGGTACTGGGGATGCTCCCGGAGATCTGGGCTTGTGGGATGGACAGGAATGAGTGGCCCTTGTGGCCCACCACTTAGTAGAGACTTAGTAGATGACCTCCTCTGGGCCTTCCTGGTGCCCACCTTTCCTCTCAGCTCAGGACAGTGTCATTGGGATGCAGGGCAGGCAGCTGACTGTGCGCAGGGAATCTAGGGTGGCCACCCTCCCCCCATCTGCTCCTCCCTCGTCTTCCTCATCATGGCACCATGGTGGCCTCATGCCAGAAATTCAGGGAGAATTTCTCTCTTGCACTCATGCCATTCTTGATCCAGGCCCGTTGGTTCTGCCTCCTGAATAGGTGCTGTCTCCACTGGCACCTCCCGAATCCAAGCCACATTGCTTCTCACCTGGGAGCCTTGGGGGGCCTCTGCTGGCTGCCTGCTTCCAGGGCAGGTGAGCGGCTGCCTCCTCTGCTCAGGAGCCAGAGCAACTTACAAAGGAAGTAACCAGTTGCTCCCCTGCTCAAACCCCCACTGCACTCAAGATATCTCAGGATGTGGCCTCAGGATGTGGTCCTGCGGCCTTCCTCCCTGTCTCCCCTCTGCCTCTCTCTTAGGCTGCACCAAGCAACCTTGGCGCCCTCACGCAGCCCTTAGCAGGCACCAGGCTCCAATCTGTGCTAATGTCTTTGCACTTGCTGTCCCCTCTGCCTGGCATGCTCTTCCCTGGGCCTGCTCCTGTCTGACCCTTTCCAGCTCACCTGTTCCCAGAATGGTCTCGACCGTCCTATCTGCAGAGCCATCACCCTGCCCCATCTGTTCTCCATCAAACCCCAGCTTACTTGTGGTCTTGGTCATCCTGGCTTAAATATTAGCCCTGTGGGGGGTTGCATGGATCTAGCTCAGTTTTGGTCCCCAGTGCACATAATAGATGCTCAATAACTGCTCGTGAATGGGGAAGGCACTCTGAGCTCCACGCTCTGCGAGCCCTACAAGTGGCCTGACTGCTCACATTGTGCCCAAGCCCTGTGGTTCGTCTTGAGAGGTGGAGTGTAGGCTGATGAGGCCTGAGCCTCCAAGACGTGGGTCACTAAGTCTAAGGCCCTGGGGGAGGTAGCACTGGGCTGCCCAGGGTCATCTTGGCTTGGGGCCTGACTGGAGTAAAGGGCTCGCAGCCTCCTGGTGGCCTCCCAGAGCAGCTGCACTGTGGCACTCAGCAGTGAGGCTCAGAGCTAGACCCGGCCCTCCACCTCAGAGGCCAGGGTGGCCCTGCTTGGTCTCCCTATCTGTGCTCCCCAGAACATTCTTGAGTTCCAACAGGCGGCTATGACTGGACTGGCTTCTTCAGAGGTGGGCTGGCTGCCCTGGCCGGCCCACGCTCCCTCTTATGTTTATAAAGATTTGCTTTCTTCTCTGGGGCCAGCGGACGGCTCACTTGATCAGGCCTTCCCAACTGGGTGCAATGTCCCCTCCTAAGTCCTTTGGTTTTTCTGTCACTTGACTTGAGTATGAAAGGCGAGAACGCAGGTTTCTCTCCTGTGGGAACTTTCTGAGTTAAAAGGAAGGTAACTCTGGAAGGAAGTGGACAGTCGGCAGCCCTTGCCCTAGGTAGAGGGGGGTCACAGGCGGCATCCACTGACCACCTAGGAGTAGCTCTACCTTCACAGCATGTCCAGGCTCTGAGCGGGTCTTTCCTCTCTCCTGCTGCCCACCAGGGCGGGGCCCCTTCACTGACGCCCAGGTTATTGGCAGTCATCTCCAAACTCACTCCCTAATTCTGACCTTGCTCCCTTTCGACCTTATATAGTAGCTGAGTGATCCCTGTCCCTTCAAGTCATTTGTCTGCTCTGGTTACCTTGCATCTCATGTCCCCAGACCCCTCTGTTCCTCATCTGGCTTTCCTCTCCTTTCACCAGCCAACTTGTTCTTTCTCTTTGAGCTACCCTGGTCTCCTGCTATTCCTGGAACACACGGAGCCCATTCCTGTCTCAGGACCTTTGCACTTGCTGTCCCCTCTGTCTGAGTATTCTTCCTTCACACCTACATAGGTTTTCCCATTTCTTCCTTCTGGCCTCCATTCACTTCCTTCCCTAATCTGTCTTTCAAGGGCACTAACTTGCAGCCAGACGTGGTGGGGCACACCTGTAATCCCAGCAACTCAGGAGGCTAAAGCAGGAGGATTGCAAGTTTAAGGCCAACCTCAGCAACTTAGTGAGACGCTATCTCAAAAAATAAGTAAATAAATAAAAACGACTGGGGGTGTAACTTAGAGGTAAAGCACCCCTGGGTTCAATTCTCCCTCCTCCAACACCTTCCCTGGGCCCTCTCCAGTCCTAATTTCCCGAGCTATTTTTCTCGGCAGCATCAAGGATAACCTGAAATATTTTATACTCACCCATTTATTTATTGATTACTTACTTCCTCCAGGAGGATGAAGCTCTGTGAGGGTGGGGACTGGTCTTTTTGTTTACTGTGTGTTTCTAGCACCTCACACGGCACCCAGCACGTCCTGGGTGCTCAGCACGTGTTCACAGGGGGATGGAGTGAGCACAGCACCCCAGGGAGCTGGGGCCCCAGGCTGCCCACGTCGATGCCTAGTCTCTCTGGGCGAGATTCTAAATCGCTTTTTTTTTTTTTTTTGGTACTGTGGATTGATTGAACACAGGGGTGCTCTACCACTGAGCTACACCCCCAGCTCTTTTTATTTTTTAATTTCGAGACAGGGTCTCACTGAGTTGCTGAGGCTGGCCTTAACATTGTGATCCTCCTGCCTCAGCCTCCTGAGTGCTGGGATTACAGGTGTGTGCCACCACCCATAATAATAAGCCTAGTGATAAGCTTTTTATCATGTGAATTCATTTCTTTGATAGCATGTATTGAGTACCTACTGTGTACAGGAGCTGCTGTGGGCTGCAGATGTGGTGTGAGCAGGACCGGCGAGGCCCTGCCCTCTTGGAATCTGGGTTTTGGCTGGAGAGAGAGAGATTTGGAGAGGCAGACGCTGGTCATGAAGGCTCTCAGGAGGGCGGTGGAGCCTAGGGAAGGGGCGCCTCTCTCAGCCAATGTTCTGCATCTACTCACTGTGTGTGTGTTGGGAAACTACAGAGGTCACAGTGAGCCTTAAAACCAGGGGCCATGCCCTGGGCACTGGGGCCAGCACCCTACCTCCAGGGCAGAATGACCCACAGCCCTTGAGCCTGAGATGTGCACCACCCCCTCCCGGCCTCCTCAGCGAGCCCTGTGTATCCATCATCCTCATCTCTGGCAATGGCCTGCTTTGGGGAATTTGTGTCTGGGCTGCTGCTCTATCCTGACTCCTGTGTGGTGACCCTTTTCCTCCTCCAGGGCTGTCTGCCGCAGAGGCCAGCAGCATCCAGCCTGGACGTGGGGCCTCTTTCCGTGCCAGGACCTTAAGGCGCCTCAGGGACCCTGTCCTCCGGCGCTCCGCCCACTCTGCCTTTGCTCCCCCCCACAGCCTCTAGTTTCCCCACAGAGGGGACAAGCCCAGCACAGGTCTCCGAAGTCCCGCCCCCCGGGGTTGAGAACCTTCTTGCTGGTCAGCATCGGTGTCCCCCCGACATACGCCTGTGTGTGCCATGGGCTTTCAGAAGCCTCTGGTTGGTCCAGTGGTTTCCCCGGCCTTCCTGGCAGCCCAGGGCTGGGGACAGAGGCCCTGCTCAGAGCTGGGCTGCGGGGGATGGGCTGGGGTGTGGGGCTCAGATGCTGCGGGGAGGGGGTGGTGCGAGCGAGTGTGTGCACGTGAGTGTGCATGTGTGTGCATGTAAGTGTGCATGTGTGTGCATGTAAGTGTGCATGTGTGTGCACGTGAGTGTGCGTGTGTGAGAGGTGGGTGCCCGGGTAGGAGTGGTGCTCAGCCTTGGGCGATTCTGGAGGCTGAGGGCATGGCCATGCAGCCTTGGGGCAGCACCCAGGCAGGCAGTGTGGGTGCTCAGCCTGGTACAGTAACAGGAGGGAGCCAACTGGGAGTTCCCTGCAGCCTCCTCCACTGCATCTCCCACCCTCCCCCTCCTTTCCCACCCAAGCCTCCTTTCTCTGCACCCCCTCGCTCGCTCTCCCTCACCCAACTGTGCCTGTGCTGTCTCAGTGATCCATCTCCCTCCACCTCTGTCCTTCCTCCTCCTCCTCCTCCCTGGAGGAGGCTGTGATCACAGGAATATCTGTGTGGAAGAGGAGGGGGTCGAGCTGGGAGAGGCTGGTTCAGGGGCTGTGTGCGGCTGCCCCAAGCCAGGCAGCTGGTGTAGGCAGGGCCCGGGCAGGAGCCTGGTGTCTGTCCTGTCTCTGCCATCACAGCTGGATGACTTTGGAGAAGTCATTTCACCACCCCGTATCCCCCTGGGACTAACGAAACTTATCCTGTGGCCCAGGGCTGAGCTCAGTAGCCTAGACTGTGTGAGGCTTCAGGTTCAATCCCCAGCATTGAAAAAAATCCCTGTCTTCCTATTGATGCCACTAGATCAATGTTGCCATTAGGACCCGCTAAGCTGGACACTGACAATAAACAGCAGTAATGACAGCTGACACTTACATGACCCTATGTGCCAGGAGCTGTTCTGATCACTTTTGTGTATTATCTCACTTAATCCCTAATCCAGTCCTGTGAGGTCCATGGTCTTATAATTGCCATTTTACAGAAGAGGAGACACAGGCACAGAGAGGTGGAGGAACTTGCCTGAGTCACACTCAGCTGGGTAGTAACAGCCAGAATCCAGCACAGGAAGTCGGGCTCCAGAGCATGTCTGTGGCCTTCGCACTGTGATCAGATGAGGTTACAAGGTGGGAATGCACAAGGGAATACATAAGTCCACTCTATTTGATTGTTTTGCAGTGTTGGGGACCAAACCCAGAGACTGGCCCTTGCCTGCCACCGAGCTGCACCCCTGCTTTCAAATAAAAACTCAACAATAAAGTAAAAGAACCCCCAAATCCTTCCCTTCCATCCCCAGGGGCACTCAGTCTTTTGGGCATGTCCTCCAGGTCCTCATTCCGTGTTTACATATCTGTACACTAGCCAAGGAGTCTTGGTGTTTTGGGGCGTGGGTACTGTGGCACATGCATGTAAATCCCAGCAACTTGAGAGGCTGAGGCAGGAGGATGGCATGTTTAAGGTCAGTCTGGGCAACTTAGTGAGACCCTGTCTCAAAATAAAAACTGAAAAGGTCTCAGTGGTAAAGTGCCCCCAGATTTCATCCCCAGTGCCAGAACCCCCAAGCCCTGCCAGCCTCCGTCCAACGCTGCCCTCCAAGACAGGAGAGATAATCCAGGGCTTTCCTGAATTTGTCCTTGACATCCGCAAAGCCAAGTTTCCGTATTTGTAAAAACATACAGAGGGACGGAGTTATGGTGTGCTTTGTCTCCCCGCCGCCCCTCTGCTCCATTCCAGAATGAGAACCCCTGGTCCTGGGGAAGAGCAGGGCGCAGGCTGTGGCCGGGTTTCAGCACCGCGGACAAGGCTCCGCCTCTGGAAAGGGGAGGGCGCAGGGGGAAGGAGCTCTGCAGAGAGGGGTAGGGGGACTCGGCAGTGACACATCTTGGCTTTGCCGCCTCCGCCCCCTTCCCATCTGCCAGGGTTGCCTGGGAATCTGGCTCCCTCCTGCCTCTTTCTGATCTTTCCATCTCCCCACAACCAGCCCACCACTGTCTGTCGCAGGAAGGTTCTCGTGCAATTTAGGAAACGCTGGCCACTCCCTGGTTTCAAAGCCCAAGTGTGCTCCCCGTGGCCCACGCGACCATTCTGTAAATTGTGCACGCTGGCACGTCCTTAAATTGGAAAGATAGGTGGGTCTCACTTTGTGTAAATCTTAAATAGGAAAAGCCAGGTTGGTCTCAGCACATGGTTCACAGGGGGCTTCCCTCCCCAGCTTTCTGGACTGTAGAGGATGCACGATGGAGGCTAGAGCCTTCCAAGTGCCTCTGAACCTTCTGGAAGTGTGGGACTTTGTGTGTGTGTGTGTGTGTGTGTGTACAAATGGATGAGCTTTTTTATTTTCTGGGGAGAGGTTTTTGTAGATTACTTAGATTTTTGTTTTGGTGCAGGGGATGGAATCCAGGGCTTTGCCATGTTCAGCCAGTGCTCTACCACTGAGCTACACCCACAGCCCTTTTAATCCATGTTGTGACAAGGTCTCACTATATTGCCGAGTCCCCAAACTTGTGATCCTCCTGCTTCTGCCTCCCGAGGAGCGGGGATTACAGGTGTGAACCACCACACTCAGCTTACTTCCAAGTTCTGCTCAATGACATGAGCACTCATCCAAGCTCTAACTTTGGAATTATCTTTGTAAGAAATGAAGGTGGGGGCTGGGGTGGTGGCTCAGAGGTAGCGCGCTCGCCTAGCACGTGTGAGGCACTGGGTTCGATCCTCAGCACCACATAAAGTAAAATAAAGACACTGTGTCCACTATAACTAAAAAATAAGTATTAAAAACAGAAATGAAGGTGGGACAAAGTTAATCAAGAGATAGAGGAAAAGAAAATAGCTTTTATTGAGCTCCTACTGTGTACCTGGCACTATCTGGCCCAGGAGGTAGGTACTTCCATTTCCATATTATAAATGGGGGGGGGGGATTAGATGTTTCTCAAGTGTATTCATTCCATTCCTGTCTAACAATTCAGAATTTTCTCACTTCATGTTCCTGGTAGGGCTGGCTCCCTCTGATCCAAACCCATTCTGTATAGAGCACTGCCAGAATAATCACATGAAAATTTCATTTATAGCACTTGAGTTCCCTACTGAGAATAGTGAAATGCCTTATGCTTCTGTATTTGCCCACTGACTCGGCCCTAACTAACTAAATAAATATGTGTTGCTTAAAACCTTCCCATGTAGCCAGGCATGGTAGCATATGCCTGTAATCCCAGGGATTTGGGAGGCTGAGGCAGGAGGATCACAATTTGGAGGCCAGCCTCAGCAACTTATCAAGACCCTCTCTCAAAATAAAAAATATAAAGGGCAGGGGATGTAGCTCGGTGGTTCAATTCCTAGCTTCAGTCCTGAGTACTGCAAACAAAACAACCACCAAAAAACAAAAACAAAAACAAAAACAAAAAAACAACCAACCAACCAAGTCCCCCGAGCCCCCCCAGGCCTATTTGTAGTAGAAGCAAGTTTTTGGGACAACAGTGTTTAATACGCCAAATGCACGTGAAAAAGTCAAGGCAACTTAAATGCCCTTAAGAGAAAATGGAATTTAGACCCTTCACAATCTCCACACTACTAGACCAGCCCTCTTTAGAGAAAGGAGGCACTGAGATTAGGATGTCTGGGGGACAGAAAACACCCTCAACTAGTCACTTCAGTTTCTTAAAATTTCATGAAGTTAAGAAGGAGAACTTCTGGGCTATGGGACCAGCCTTGCAGAGCCATTTGAGCTTTCGGGTCCGCTGGTTTCCTGAAGTTCTAAGGGCCCCTGGCCTGGTCCTCCTTCTGGTGGCTGCTGGGGAACAGCTTCTCCCCCCACTTTCTTAAGTACCAGGGATTGAACTGAGGGGTGCTCAACCCCTGAGCCCCATCCCCAGCCCTATTTTGTATTTTATTTAGAGACAGGGTCTCACTGAGTGGCTTAGGGCCTCACCATTGCTAAGGCTGGATTTGAACTCATGATCCTCCTGCCTCAGCCTCCTGAGCCGCTGGGATTACAGGTGTGCACCACCGTGTCTGGCTGCTCTCCCGCTCTTGATGTCTGCTGTCGAGACGGGAGATGCCCGCTGGTCCTGGCATAAGTGACTTGTAGGATTCCAAGGTCACTAGCATCCCTAGCAATCTATAAAAGATTCAGTGGCGATCGTTTGCTTTGTGCACACGTTCTCCAAAAACTACAACAAACACTTCTGTTTTACGGAGCACAGGAGTCATCACACAGGCACATGCATTGTTCCCAAATAGGAAGAGACTCCGTACGCTAAGGCGGTGCCTGGCGGATGCACACACTCTTTCCCTCTTTCTTCAAGTGCTGTTCAAGTGTATTCAATTCTTGAACTGCGAAAGGCTCTGGAAAGTTCTGTGTGCTGAAGGTTGACTTGGGGGGATGACTGTCCCACTGCCCTGCCTGGAGCTCCTTTGTGGAACTCAGGGTCAGGGTCAGGGTCAGGGTCAAGGTCAGGGCTCATCCAGGTCCATGCCTGGCTCAGTTTGAAACGTTGGTGTCAGGGTTTGACTGAGGTCAGTACTTAGCATTTTGCCCAAATCAGGCTTGGTTGGGCGCCATGGTCAGCGTGAAGTTTGGAGTCGGGGTCAGGCCTCAGTCTGGGGCCGCAGCTGGGCCGGTCCAGGGTGAGGACTCAGCTGCTGGCTCTAGAGTTCAGCCTGCAGTTGGGGTTGAGGTTCAGTCGATGGCCAGGAGCAGGACCAAACTGGGCTCTTGCTCACCTGACTGCCGTGACCTTCCTTTGCCAGGTGCCCAGGACCCCACGGCCAGGCGGGGAGTCGGCTGACAGCAGGCGTCTGGCCACCAAGCACAGCAGGAAGGCCTTGAAGGCCAGCCTGACGCTGGGCATCCTGCTGGGCATGTTCTTCGTAACGTGGCTGCCCTTCTTCGTGGCCAACGTGGCCCAGGTAAGGCCGTGGCTGGGGGTGGGACGAGGGGGAGGGTGGGCACCTCCCGTGGTGTTTGCCGCATCTGGGCTGGGTATGGGGATCCGGTTCCTGCTCTCAGCCAAGGGTGACCCACCTGTGTCCCCAGGCTGTGTGCGACTGCATTTCCCCGGGCCTCTTCGATGTCCTCACGTGGCTGGGGTACTGCAACAGCACCATGAACCCCATCATCTACCCACTCTTCATGCGGGACTTCAAGCGGGCCCTGGCCAGGCTCCTGCCGTGCCCCCACTGTCCTCAGCAGCGCCGGGCCAGCCTGGTGTCCCCCTCCATGCGCACTTCTCACAGTGGCGCCCGGCCAGGCCTCAGCCTGCAGCAGGTGCTGCCGCTGCCGCTGCCCCCGGACTCGGGCTCCGACTTGGACTCGGGCTCCAGAGGCTCCTCGGGCCTTCAGCTCACGGCCCAGCTACTGCTGCCCGGCGAGGCCACCCGGGACCCTTCGCTGCCCGCCAGGACCCAGATGGTCAACTTTGACATCGATCCCGCGGACAGGGAGCTGCGGCTGCACCCGCTGGGTACCCCCACGAGCTGACCGAGTTTGGAGCCGGCGGGCGGGGAGGTGGGTCGGACAGGCCGGGCCCCCAAGGTCTCAGGCCAACGGAACCCGTGAGCTCCAGGCCACCGGCCTGAAGGAGGAGCTGCCTGGGGTGTCGTTCTCTGCAAGATGGTCCCTTCCTGAGTGTGACTCGGGGTTCGTGGGGGATGGTTGGAGGACTCTGGGAGTCGGGAGCAGGACTTCTTGGTTCAGAGGAGGATGAGAAAAATTCCTGTCCTTTGCCCCTTCTCTCAGGTTGGTGGGAGGGGACGCGTCCATCTGTCGACGCGGGTCCTGGCTTGGCCCGATCCCTTGCTCCTCAGCGTCCGGTCAGCATTCTCATGGCCTTCTGGGAGTCTGCTCAGAATGCCCATCTCTGCCCACCCCAGACCGCCGAGTCAGAGTGTGTGTTAAAAGGCCCAGGTTGGCCACGGGCCCCTGTGGCTGGAGGGGGCTGGCAGAGGGGATCTTTAACCCCGAGAATGCCGTGCAGGACACTGGTTGGACCTGCCAGTCCCCCGGACGTGTGTGGCGGCACAGGAAAGCCCCTGGCCTTCCCAGGCACAGGCTGGCTGGACCTGAACCTTTGCTTTTCTGCTTCTCCCTCGGGGGCCTGGCACGGGCTGCTTGGCCTCTGAGAGCCCCGGTTTTCCCACGTGTGAAGTGGGGTAGTCGTGGCACCAACCCTCGGGTCATTGTGAGCATGAGCATGATACGTACTGTGTTTCCAGCCTCAGCAGGGGTCCGCGTATGGTCCACCAGCCCAGGGGTCCTGGCTTTGGCCCGGAAGGGCTATTTGTTCGTGTAGTTCTTTTCGGGGGGTGGAGGCCAGAGCTGGGCACCTGCTAGCCAAGCGCTCCTGCTCTGAGCTGCCCCCCCCCCCCCCCCGGGCCCCTCCGTTCTTTTAACAGTTCGCTCCTTCTTTTCCGTCCCAGCCCAGATTCCCGGGGACTAACTCGGTTCCCCAGCTCCCCGTTCTGGGTGCTGGGTGGGGCCCCCGTTGCTCAGGGACCCTCCTGGCCTCCGCACTGTCCCTCCTGGCGCTAAGGGCGGACAGCACTTTCCCGTTCAGCCTGGGTCATGCGTCTCCCTTGGCCTTGGGCTTCCCTGGACCTGGAAGGGAACAGCCCATGGGAGAAGCCCCGCCCCCGTCCCACCTCCTTCTAGCTTTCTCTGGGGTCAGTGAGGGCCAGGGGCCTCCAGGGTCAGCAGAGCAGAGCTGAGGAGAGCTCTCCCTGGTGGGGGGCTGCAGGCAGGGGCCTTGCTTTCCGGTCAGGGAACCGGGTGGGGGACTCCTGGCTCCCGGCCCACCTGCCCGAGGCTCCTTCGCAGCCGGAGGTTTTCCTTAAAGCCCTGAAGACCCACCAACCAGACTTTCAGGGGTCCCCTGCGCATGGCCTGGCGCTCTCCTTGGTGCTGATCAGACTCAAGCCGGCCCGGGCCGCTGGCCGCTGGCCACAGAGGGGCCATGGTGCTTGCTGGGACTTCCTCGTGCCTCCAGGCCTGCCCGAGGGGACTCTCAATAAACTCTCGCTGAAGGACGTGACCGTGGTGTGGACTGGATTCTGTCGCGGCAACGCTGGGGGCTTGCAAAGCGCTGGGACAATGGGAAGTGACCCTGGCTCAAGAGTCCTGGGTTCTGGCCCTGACTCTGCCCCTAATGTGCTTTGGGACCCCAGGATCATGTGCCCTTTGGACCCTGGCTTCCCACATGTGGTGTGAGCAGTGTGGACTAGAATCAGCAGGAGTTGTGTAAAGGTCTGCAGGATGAATAAACGCCCGCACCCGAGCGCCACCCGGCGCCACTTGGAGCCTACATTCTGTGACTCACTTCTGCCCTCCCCCACCTCCCTCAAAGCTGTCCGCACAGCCTGTCCCGTTCAGCTTGGCACTGATGAAGGCTCCATCACTGATGGGCTGTGTGACCTTCAGTAGGTTACCTAACTTCTCTGAGCCTCATTTTCCTCAAGTATGAAAAGAAGATGGTCATAGTACCTACTCCACAGGGTGAAGGTGGGTGGAAACAACCCAGGTGAGCGCTTGGTATGGGGTAAATAATACGCGGTTGCCGCTCATATTATTTTTTATTAATTTCCTCCCTGTTCCTGCTGTAGGAAACCCTTCCCCTGAGATCCATTCTTGTTGCTGGGCCCAGTTCCCGCCACTCCATGTGCTGATTCGGCATTTACTGCTCCAGCCCATGATATGGCCTAGCTCTGGGGGCTGCTTACAACGTCACAGCTACGTGACCGTTGCTCCTATGGTTGTGCTGTGCCCAGACGGCAGGACTGCGCGGGACAGAGCTGGTCCGTGTACTGAGTGGAGAGAGGGAGCTGCCCCCTGGGCACCTGCACCCCTGTGGGTGCCGGTGAGTGGGCCCGGGGAGGCAGGTGGCTGGGAGTCCCAGCCCCACACATCTCTCGGGACCTCCCGGACAGCCAGACCCCACAGCTGGGACCTGGGGTGCAGGCAGCCCCCGCTGCCTGGGAGTCCTGGGCTCCTGCCGGGCTGGGCTGGCCTTGCAGCCTCTGCTCCCCAGGGAAGGACTGTCCCCCACTGTTCTTCCTTCTGGTCCCTTTTCAAGTCTGACCCCTGCATCTCAGGAGCGGCCTCTGCAGGGATTTGCTCACCTCAGCCCTCACCTGGGGGCTCAGCAGAACCAAAGCTGCATATAGAAACCCGAGAGATGGCCCAGGTCCCCCACTGGGGTCAGTCCAGCCCCGGGCAGGGGCCCTGGGTCTCGCGGGCACAGTCAGGGCAGCCCAGTGGGTTGGGGTCCACACCATGGCTGCACATAGGGGGGCTCCCGGCTGGGCCTGCAGCGGCAGGAAGCGAGGCCCCTTCAGATGGATGCGGCCCCACTGGCTCCTGGGCTTGGCTGGGGTCAGCGGACGCTCTGGCGGTGTCTCTGGGTGCGGGCCCCTGGGTCTGCCCATCCTGGCGGCTGGTCTTGTCTGCCGCTGCCTGCCGAGGCTCCTCCTGGGGCAGGCCGCCTGGGGCCAGCAAGAGCCCCTTCTCGCCCCAGCCTGGCTTGGTGCGGACGCCCACGGCCTTCAGGATGACATCCATCTGCTTGGCATAGTCCAGGTGGCCGCTGACCTGCAGGAGGACAGTGAATGAGGGCCACGGTGGTGGTGGGCAGGGCCCAGCCCTCCTGGGTCCCCCAGCGAAGCCTCTGGACCTTGTCCTTGTCCCTGGCCAACCAGTCACCAGTCCCACGCCTCCATCTCAGAGTCTCCCGGATCCAGAGTGGGGTGGGAGGGCCCCGGGCTCAGAGGAGGTCTGGAACTTAGGAAGTAAAGATGGAGGACGTTTCTCTACGCGGCCTGCGTCCTCTGGGACTGGACAGCCAGGTGGACGGTCTCCCCTGCCTGCAGCTAGTGGCCCGGCTGCTCCTAGCTGTGGGCTTGGGACAAGTCCCTACCCCACCCTCACTGTCTCAGCTGTACTATGGGGACAGTAAGGCCAGCTTCGCAGGGGGTAAAATAAAGCCCAGATGCAGACCATGAGATCTGTCCTCAGTGCTCCGGCCCCTCCTGCCTCAGCCCGACAGCACCCACACAGGGTCCTCAGCCGCCCGCGCAGTGAGGTGCAGCGCTGAGATGCTTTTGGCCAACGAGATGACTGGAGTTTGAACGTGGCCCCCTGAGTTCATGCGTTGGAACCCAGCCCTGGTGCCACAGTGTTGGAGGTGACTAGGTCCTGAGGTGCCTCGAGAAGGGCTAGTGGTGACTAGGTCCTGAGGTGCCTCGAGAAGGGCTAGTGGGCTCGGGGGCTGTGGCTCAGTGGGAGTGCACTTGCCTAGTGCGGTGGGGCCCCGGGGTCTGTCCCCAGCACTGCACACACACAGAGGGGAGCGATGACGTCATTGCAGACCGGTCCTTACAAGTGGGTTTGTTATAAAAGTAACCGTGCCTCTCCCTTTCCCTCCCGCCTTCCTCCATGGGCTGACGTAGCAAGAAGGCCCCACCAGACCAGGTGCCATGCTATGCCCTTGGACTTCCCAGATTCCAGAAACGAGAGCCAACTCCATTTCCATTCATTGGGGATCACCTAGTTTCAGGAACTCTCGAATAGCAGCATAAACCCACTAAGACAGAGAGAAAGCAATGGTGTTATGTGGTGCCCCTGAGGAACCGTGCTCTTCTTGACTCATTTCCTCTTTCCTGCTGGCTGGAAATCAGATGTGATGGCCAGAGCTTGAGCATCCATTTTGGGCCATGAACTGGACCACTACGGTGGCACAGCAAGCAGCCAGACGGAGGGGACTCTGGCCCCTGAATACTGTGGAGCCAACAAGTCAGCCGGAAAGTGCCTATTCATGGGACAGAATCAACATCAGGGATCCATTATAGGGCTCGAATCCCAACTAGCACAAGGGCCGAGAACTCAGAAGCGCCCACCCCCCTTCCTCAGAAAATAAGACCCCGTTTTTGTGCTTGGATGTGTCTGTGAGGGAAAAGGAGGCCGAGGAGGGAGCACGCGATGCCCGACACAGATTAGGTCTGCACACAACTTAGCACCTACGTGAGTGGACACAGGCCCTCGGCAGGTGCTGGCTGCTAGTTGTGGCTGAGACTGAGCCATAGAGAGGGACAGGGTTGCCCCAGAGCATCCAGCCGAACGCCTTGGAGCAGGGACCTGGCCCTGGCCTGTTCCTAAGGCCCACGCTCTGCACAGAGAGGGCCGCCCCTGGCTCCTCAGGCCTCAGGTCCAGGGGGAGGCCAAGGAGGCCGCGCCCTTCCACAGGAGGGGGCTTACTTTGAGGCTTGGCGTCTGAGACCCGGGCTGCCTTGCTCTCTTCTGCCAGGAGCTTGTCCCCTGCCATATCCTGACTGCAGCTTCCCCACCTGGAAAATGGCGGTAAGACCCTGATGGCTGCAGGAGCTGGAGGGCCTGGTGCTTTGTGGGAATGGAGTCCATGCGACCTTCTACTGTTATGTTCCATGTACAATTCAGAAGAGTTTTTATAGAGACATTACTCCATTTGAGTTAGTGATACCCAGCCTCGGGGGGCTGGCAGGCGGTCACAGAGCACCAGTCTGGCAGGCAGCCCATGCTCCATGAATGTGGTTCCCTTACGTTAGTTTTCTTAGAAGGGGGAATCCATTGAGGAACCCAAAATGGCTGCTTAAGCTCCAGCCATCATGTCTGAATTTCAGCCAATAGAAACTTCAGACCCACAGGAGACAAACGATAACTGCTTCTCTAAGGACAAACCCAGCTGCCTCCCTCTATCTTTTTAGTGCTTGTGAAAGGCTGGTCGAAGGGTGGGGAAGAAAGGCCAGGTCAGGAAGAAAGGGACGTGTCTGTGGTTGCTTGTACAACTGACTCTGGGTGGAAATGCTACTGCACAGCTGTCCCAGGACCCGAAGCTGGGGCCCTCCTTGGCTACAGGTGGGCCCAGGTCTCAGCCAAGCCTCGTTCTGAGCTGCATTCCACCCAGGCGGGGCGCGGGGGCGGGAGTCACTCAGCGCTCCAGCCCAGCGGGTGCTGGAGGAAGACGTCCGCGCCCACCAGCTCCCTGGCTGTCCTGGTTGATCTGCAGCTGCCCAGATACACGCGGGACAGCGCCCGTGGCAAAGCCCTCTCTGACGGTCCCTGCTGGGGAGGGCCTTCCTGGGGGCCTCTGTGGGGTCCAGATCCCCCAGGGCTCCTCCTGTTTCCTGCCTCACAAGACACCCCCACACCCCACCGAGACGCGGACCCACCCACTTCTGCCCGCCCAGCCACTCCTTCCGGCCTCTTGGGCCCCTCTGGACTCCTTTTCCTCTCGGCCTCGGTCTCCTCAGATGACACTGATGGGGACACCTGCACCACAAGGCCACTATAGGTGGCCCAGGCTTCTTGGCGGGTCCCAGGGCACTGCCCGAGGCCTCGCCTGCGCAGTGGGACCACCATGTGAACAGGTGACAAACCTCTGTGGCCACCGGGCAGTGCCAGGCGCGTGCCAGCTGTGGGGGTCGGGTGTCCACGTGGTGCCAGGCCCTTTGCTAACTTCTGGAGGCCAGCGGGCATCTCCTATGGGACATGAAGGGTCTTGCCCTGGTGGGGACGCAGGGGAGGGGCAGTCTTCTGCTGGCTGAACCCTGGCCCCCCTCACTTATGGGCCCTGGAGATTCAGCCCCGGGTGGTCCACAGAAGTCAGCAGAGACCCAGGTCTGCAGGGCTCTGCAGCGGGGACCCTCCTCCACCCACCTGCCCCAGCAGCCTCCCAGGGAAACACAGAGGCAGCCTAATGACTTCTAATTGCCTGGAGGAGGAGAGCCCTGGGCAGCTCCTAATGTGATAAAGAGCTATTATTAGGCAGAGCTGGGGAGCTGCCAGGGAGGCAGTCTGAGGAGGGAAAGAAGACTGGGAGCCGACAGTCCCACAGGCAAAGGCCAGAAGGTGCTGGCAGGGCCTGAGCCGAGGGAACCAGTATGAAATGAGGGCCTGCCCTGCACCAAGAGGCTTACATGTGCTGCCCGGGAGGAAGACAGGTGGTTTCCACCATTTCATAGATAAGGAGACCGAGGCTCACAGAGGTCCCCTTCCCACTCGCTATGATAAGCAGGTCTCAGTGGACGAAGGCTCTCCAAGCCTTAAAGATCATCTAGACACTCGAGTTGTTTGCGTGGCCGCCCAGACAGGCTCTTTCCACCCATCCCTGCAAGAATTCTCGCCAGCAGGACCCCTCAGGGTGCACATGGCCCCCTAGAGACGGAGTTGGAAGGTCTGGCGGTGGCACCCGGGCTGTCCCCTGATGAGGGCTCAGCTCTGGGTTCTGCCTCT